ATTAATATTATTGTAAAATTTCTATAAAATGATACTAAATAATTATTTTTGTTTTAATCCATTCTCTTCACTATGTAATGTAATTGAACTGGAAGATGTATTATTGATATTATGCATATTTATATCATCCAATCTTTTCGATATTGTTAATATATGTGTTTGAATTTTGTTGCATTCTTCCTGCAAAATGAAATATCTTTATTTTTTACTCTAAAAATTTAATAGGTTAAATTGGAACCATTTTTCACTAATACCTTCCTATCATTCGATATTGACAGTCGTTTTTTCTAGTTTTTCAATTCCGATTATTTCCATCATATCAAATAGATGATATGAATAGCAATAAATCATCAAAAATTAGTAATTAGCAATGATATGACCAGAAAGTTTAATGAATAAGCAAATGAATAAAAATATTGTTCAACAATTATGGGAATAATTAGAAGAATATATTTGAAGGAAAATAAGTAATTAAATTAATTAATGCGATATATTTCTATCAGTTTAATTAATATATCAGCTATCAATCAATCAATTAATCATTTGGATTTTTAGGTTAACAAGATCGATTGTTATTTTACTGTAAAATGAATGATTAATTGATTAATCATCAATTAATCATTTGCGTTATTTGGCTAACAATAATGATAATTAATATATCAGCTATCAATCAATCAATCATATGCATTCTTAGGTTAACAAGATCGATTGTTATTTTACTGTAAGATGAATGATTAATTGATTAATCATCAATTAATCATTTTCATTATTTGGTTAACAATAATGATTACTATTTTTGTTATCAGATGATCGATTAATTGATTAATTATTAATTTTAGAAATACCCGAGCTTGTATATTTCGTTGTTTACAACGTTCTGTAGCAAAAATCATCGTCATTTCATGATCTTTCATCATTTCAAATATATTCAACAATCGTTGATTCACTTTTAACCAATCGACCATCTTTTTTTCCAAATCTTTATTTTCCTGTTCAAGCATACTTAATTGATTATCCTGAAATAACACTAATTTATGGTAATATTTCAAATTATTATCCGATTTAATCGTATATTTTTCCAATTAAAAATTTATAAAATAAGAATTTATGAAATAAAAAACAAATGATAAAATAAAAATTTGTAAAATCATCATTAGTTGACAATTGAAAAATGAATAAAAAGATAATGATATCATAAAAGTAAAGCTTACAAAAGTTAGCAAAATATGCTAAATTAACAAATTACTTTGTAAATTTTTTGAGCACTACCATTTTGCCATTTGCTTATAGTTTTTCGTTTATGCTCAATAAGATGTTGTGTATATTTAATTTGTTTCTCAATTATTTTCACTTGTTGAGCATTTTCTAATAATCGTCGATCAGCAAGAATTTTCTGTAAATTTTAGAAAAATGCAATAAAAAAAATATTGAATAAAAATAATTATTTGAAAAAAATATGAAAATAATTATAATTAAATAAAAATAATTATAATTAAAAAATATTTATTTTTTTTATATTGAATAAAAATAATTATTTAAATGAATGGTTAATTTTGAATGAATTTTAAAACTTAAAATAATTCAAACACCTCAATGAGTTTTAAAATTTGAGTAAATTTGAAGATTTGAAAAAATCGAAAGAAAAAGTTGAAACTTTATTCAAATAAAATTTATCATTGTGTAGCAAAATTTGTGTAGAAATTCGATAATAGATATAAGTGAAAAGCTTAAAAAAAAAGAAAACTAAAGTATAGGTAAAATAATAAGTATATTATAGAAATACAAGTA